TTTTTTTTCTCCAGAAAGCCATTACAGTCTGCAACAGCCACTGGAACTGAGCTAGTAACGTCTCTCAGTCCTTAAAAAACACATGCTTCAATTTTTGATTAAATATATCTTAACTTGACAGACTGATTGATTTATCAATCTTTTCATTGATTTATAAGGAATGTTTACTCGCCCTCTGCTTATATTTTACACTAAAAATAAAAAAAAAAGACTAACGTTTTTGGTAGGCCAACCGGAAGGCTGGCGACAAAGGCAGGGACCCTCAGGCGACAGGACAAGAAGTCGACAGCGGCAGCGGAGACATGACCCTTCAGGACCTCGGGCGAAACGGAGACCAGGCAGAGCGGACACCTTGGGTAGAGCGGGAGCAGGCTGGGACTGCGCAGGGCACACAGCAAGCTCGGGCTGCTCTGCCTGGGGCTGCACAGGGCACATAGTAGGCTCCGGTGACCCCTCAGACCACAGGTTCAGGGGCCCTCTGGCTAAGTCACTGAAACATGCGATAGAGTGGAATCTGCAGGAAGCTGGAATGGGTCGGCTGAGCACCCAGCAGACGCAGGAAGTTATGTTCAAGGACTACTGGGGTTCCAGAGTTGGCTGAGGCCACAAATTCAGTCTCTGGATAGGCTCTGGGCAGAGCCTCAATCTCAGGGGGAATCCAGTTTTCGCAGCGGGGGAAACAGTCTCAGAAGGATCTGACCAGGAGGCACAAGCATCATTACTAGTCTCAAAATATACAGTTACAGGAGTAACAAGCTTAGGAACACAATATTCAGTCTCTGGGACTGTTGGCTGATACACACGACACACAGACTCAACTTTCTCAGGCTGACCAACACATGACAGAGTGGTGTAATTGACTCGCTTAGGAATATGATTAACTATTTAACATAGTACTTGCTAGGAAAAAGCAGTTTTAGGCAGAGCTGGCTTGACAACAGAAACAGTTTTCAAGGTAGCTGGTTTGGTAAAGCAACAGAAAGGATTGTCAGCAATTAGCAGAACAAAACATAGTTCTAGAACTTACAGATACAGTCCACTGGGTCAAGCCATTCTGTCATGAACTACAGTGTGGCAGGTGGAGGTAGGACACAATTGCAAGACTCGGAAACAAAGGAGTGAACTAAAAGAGGCAGCTT